CGCACTCTCTATATATATATATGTATATATATATATATATATGGAGCCTTGGGGAAAGCCGTGGCGGTTCTTGTGCTTGTGTTCAGAGTGTACCAGGACGGGCTGTTAGACCTTAGAATTCCAATGAGGATCCCAAGAGGTAGATTATGGGGCGTGAAAAGTCTGGAAGAGGCTAAGGTTTGGGGTTTAGGGCTCAGGATTTAGGACTTAGGATTTAGGGCTTGGGGTTCAGGGTTTAGGGCTGGGGCTCCTAGTCCCATCGGAGAACTCTGCCAGCAAAGCGCCGTCGCCAAGCTGCGGACGATCCGTTTGAGTGTACTCCTTGGGCTTAGATTAGGGTGTAGGGTTACCTGCAACCCAAACTACCTATACCTTGCTAGGTTGTACCTACCTGCTTAGGGAAGAATTGCCATAAGCTGTGGGTACTTCGGCGTAGACTATAGGATTTACATGGTTGATGTTAAAGAACTTAATTTCAGTTACCATCTTGGTGAAACCATATTAATTACTACGAATACCCATTGTGGTGACTTAATTCAACGTCAACCCTGTAGTCTAGTCTCAACGCCAAGGCTCGGAATTTGCTTGTCCCTCACATGCCCCCCTAAACAATCCCTAGAAGCCCAGTTACCTATGTATTGGGTTCCTGTCCTTGGGTCACTATATAAATGTATACTATCTATAACCCAAGGACTTACTATATGGGTACCTGGCTTCTAGGGAATTCTGAATACCAGGAGCCCCGTTCCTAAGCCCAGGGCCCCCCCCAACCTTTCAAGCCCCCTACGAAACTGTCAGCTCCAACCACCCCAAACCCCTAAACCTTGAGCCCCCCAAACCTAGGACTCCCTTAATGTCTGCCACAGAGTCGTAACCGCTGGAGCTGGCGTAGTCTTGGCAAAGAATCGCATACCTAACACCGAGCTGTAAAGTCTGACAATAACGCAGGACTCCTGTCTATACAAGATCCCGAAAAGCACATGCAAGAAATAATGTTAATAGGTTGGAGCTTCGGGTTTGGGATTCAGGGAACTCTAAACCCTGGATTCAGAGTTATATACCCAAGGCTCTAAGAAATTCCCGCATACCCAGAGGGTCCATATATACAACTATTAGGGAATTAGGCCCAAAATACCATACTATAGAAGGAATTATGGGTCCCCATCCCCTAATTGTTGTATATGTGGACCCTCTGGGATATCTACTTTGGGGCTCCGGGATCTCCTATGTAGCTACATTGGGACCCTTTCGGCCAGCTACTTAAGATGGAACATTGTATGCGAGCTTTAGTCTACACTCCAAGTATCCCTCTTAATAAGCCCTATGATATGGGGTTTAGGGTTTAGGGCTTGGGTCTAAACTCCAGGTATCCCCCGTAACAAGCCCTATAATACTCCCCTATGCGACCCCCCTCTACGGAGTTTGGATTATGGTTTGCATGAAGAGACTAGCGTTGAAAAATCTCGGAGGTTGAAGGGGTCCAAACAGCCCAACCTAGACCCTGCTTGTAGGGTCTAGGGTATTTTAGGCCTTGGGGGCTATATAGAAAAGAAAATGGAAACTACTAAAATGGGTCATACAGGGGGTTTGGGCCCAAAGTAGGCATTGTTGGTAGACTTGGATCCCCAGGGAAGGCGTTGCGAAATCCGCCCCAGCTACGTTTTCGTAGCGGTCTCGGTCTCCTCGGTTGTTCTTGCCGGAAGAATGTTACAAAGCAGAAGCCACTTCAGCTAACTACTTGCCAGGGTACAGGTTGTAAGGTAGAATTAATGAACAGAAGTGAAGGCTGCGTTCAAGAGAAAACCGTCTCAGGTAGGTAGCCCCCTCAGGCTAAGATAAAACCCCTAAACCCTAAACCCTTAACCCTAAATGCACAGCTCTACTCTACTCAGACCAGTTATTGGAGGGGGGCCTCGATATTAGTGCTACAAGGCATGCGGGTCTTGTGGTAGGGGAGCCTGTGCAACGTATCCATCCTCCATAAGCCACAAACCCGCCTTAGCAGGTGGAGTGAGGTCAGCAAATCAGCAATGTGGAATCCTAAGGGTCCAAGGACCCAAATAATAGGTTTTAGGGCTCAAATACTATAATATTAATGGTAGTTGGGCCCTAAAACCCTATTATTTGGGTCCTTGGACCCTTAGGAATGTGGAAGACCATAAGCTGTAGGATTTCCCTTTTCTGGAGTCGCCTGGGAATCTGGAGGCAGCCTGAACTGAGCTTCCGCAAGCTGCCCTGAACCTGTTAAGGTCACAGCTGGAACCGTGCCAGCAGAAAATGTTATCCAGTCGCGACCGGGAGTCATTGTATTGGAAACTGACCTTGACGGCGTTGTGCGGGGTGAAATCCAGCGGGTCTTTCGCAATCCTGGCTGGCTGATCCCTTCCGTTGTGGCCCCGGGGTGTATTGGGACCAGGGGTATCCAGAAGGTTCCTGAATACATTGTTTGGGAATAACTCCGACTAAGCACATTATTTACTCCCAGTACAATGACCCTTCTGTGTATTGTACAGATACTCAGGACCTAAACCCTCTACGTCCCCTGCATAACTTCTGGAAAACCTACTGTATGCCATGTAGATGCTTCGGCTCCTAGCCTGTAGGGATACCTGACGTGCAGTGTTAGTAACGTCTCAGTCACAATGTTTGGATTTCAGGGTTAAGGGACCAAGAGTCAGCTGGCCATTGAAATAGAATTCGAAATAGTTGTCGCAATAGATGTAGCCAGTGATGTCCTGGGCTGCTGGCAGGTTGTGCTGTTGATGGAGCAAGTCTTTGATGACCCTAAGGGCACCAAGGTACTATCATGCCTATAGAAGTTGAGGTAGCTTCATACAGGACTTTGCCTATCAACCATGACATATGGGGGAGCACTTTGTTAACACATCATTAAGAGGTACTGACACATGACCTGACCTGTTACCAAAATGGCCACCCCCCAAATTGCTAGCATCCTACAAGCCTATAGGATCAAGAAACATGTTCTAAATTATCTAGGTTCGCCGGTAACCCCTCAACAACAAGCACCCTTTGTCCCAATGTTCCGTTTTAACAAGGAGGTGCCCACATGAAAAGGGAACAAGGACAAACATTGGGTACCTAGATATGCAAAGTACATGAACCCTAAACCCGGCACCCTAAACGCATGAACACGTGAACCCTACCCCTTAATAATTTCTATAGCAGTCCCCTATCTAATCCCGTATATTACCCCCCTTCAGGAGCTTAGACTACAGCTAGTACGGTTGATGGAGGAAATCTTGCACCACTTAGGGTTACTAAACTACTGTACTTGCTAGGGATTCTAGGACTTAAGGTGGTGCAAGATATCCTCCATCAACAGTATGAGGTCTAAGTTGTGTTCATGGTAGCCCCAGCAACTAAGCTAACTTGTGCACTCTCCGAAGCTGCTGAAGGACCTTACATACACTGGGTTTAGGGTTTAGGGTTTAGGACCGGGTTTAGGGTTTAGGGTTCAAACCACCCTCAAAAACATCTGGCAGTGTCTTACACACACATTTTAATGTTGGACCCATAGATTGCTTGTGTAGATTTCTCTTGGAGGTCCGAAGGCACAACGCATTTTGAGGAACGTCCATGCACAGGGACGGGCAGAACTTATCCTAAATCTGCTGCACGCTAAACCCTGCAACCCTACCCTTGAAAACACTTACTGTAAAGCCTGAACCCCGGAAAATCTAACCCTAACACCTCAAAACTCCTTATCTGCGGAACTTTGGAGCCCTTGACCCCTGAACCCCCATACCCTAAATCCTAAGCCAGAGGGCCCTGAGACCCGACTTCGCATAACCGATGTGATTGTAAATGTTGTAGCCCCATTCTCAGCCCCCCTAACCCCTTATGGTTCTAACTGGGTTACAAGCTCCCGTTCGAATTGGGTTATACCTACTCTACATATCCCCATATAACTCCATTTAGCCCTATATAACCTCTGTAACTTTGTTATCACTACCCCGAACCTCCAAGTCATTTTAACATCTCTAGCAGAGCTGGGCGTCGGTCATCGCATTGCCCAAGCCTCGACTGCAGATCTACGTGTGGAGCATCTCTGAATCTACATACAAAGGGTAGGGTGTAGGGTTTACTGGCTTGTTGTTAAGGAACTTAAATTAAGCTACTACAAAAGGACCCCCCACCATGCTTTACTTATTCGCCCATATTATGGTAACTAAAGCTTTATTGAATTCCTTAACAGCACCCCAGTTTAGGCTTAGGGGCTGAAAGCTTAGGGCTTAGAGTCGTACGGGTTTCTTGGGGATATGTTGGGTTCCGGGTTTCAGGGTTCCCTCCGGGAGGATAAAGAGACATGTGAGGATGCATCGAGCCCGGATTTAGAATTTCTTTGTCCCCAATCCACACTGTCAACACAAGGGGCCGGGAAAGACCCGCGGTTTAAGGTTTCGAGTTTGACTTCACCATTGAAAGGGGCCTTTGTGGTTGTCATGTTGGCCTGGGGGAGCGTATCTAGATCGGACCCCCATGCGCTTGGAAGCCAGGTACGCTAATTTTGACATACTGTTGATGGATGCAATCTTGCCTGACGTGTGGTATGGTACCCTCATTCCTAGGGTTAAGGGGACTTAAGGTCATGCAGGAGCTTGTCCATTTGCCATACATCTGTTGCTCTCGCAGGAGTTGAATGGCTGTGACAGGACTTCATGGCTACAACACGCGCTTTACAAAGTTCTGGGTTTACCCTAAACCCTAAACCCTAAACCCTTTAGGATTTATAGGGGAGTCATCCTACTGGATGGTAAGGAAAACCCACATTCCTGCAAAAGTCTTGGAAACAAAGCCTTGGCAGAACCCAGGAAGCCCTGCGCAGCGAACTCCCTGAAACCTGTTCATCCCCCACTTGACACTGCAAGCCTAAACAAGAAGGCTTTAGGGGTTTAGGGTTTAGGGGTTGAGGGTTTAGGGGTTTAGGGTTTAGGGTTTAGGGGTTTCGGGTTTAAGGTGTTGGGTGCGCCCAACCCTTATAAGTAGGGCCCTATGAAAAACAGATGATAAGCATAGGATCCCCCTATGTGAGAAGCTGAAGTAACTCACATCCCCACTGCCTCTGACCGCTACAGCCAGAAATCCCTAGACTGTAAACCATGCATCGGCTACCACGCCCTGAAATGATCTGCGGGCGGAAAACCTACAAGCATGCATGTACCGAGACCATCCACCTGCAATATAGTAGGGCCTGACTACCGGCGATTAGGGACCCTATGACCCCACATGAGGGTATCAGAATGGTTCGCGAGCCTTTCTTTAGCGACCCCTTTTTGGCAATCCCTATGACATGAACTATCATATCCTAGGGTCTTACGTAACATTGGGCCCACAACTGAGAATTAGAGAAGGTGCCTGCAAGCACGAGCGAAAGAAGAGCACAAGCGAGCGCCGACATGTTGTGAGGCGTCTTTGACACGCCCAGAACCCTCACCAAAAAAGGGGGCAAGTGTTGGGCCAGCTGGACGGATTGCAGTGTAGGGTAGAGTTTAGGGTTTAGGGTTCAGAGTTTAGGGCTTAGGGTTCACAAAACACCAACCCATTAAGTAGAATCGCTACGCCCCAGACCCGAAGCCCCAAACTTCAAATCCTAGGCCTGAACTCTTACCCAAAACCCAAGACCCTAAGTGGAGACTTGGGTCCACATGATTTGTAGAGTATTAAAATTGGACCACATGTGTTGACCGCCTTCCTAATGAAAGCATGACCGCTTAATAGGGATTATATAAGGATCCTAATATCAAGGCCCTTAAAAGGAGCGGGTTTATGAATCATGGGTCTACATTAGGGCTCAGGGTGTTGTTGAATGCAAACTTTAAAGCTTAGGGCTTCATTTGCGGGCGAGGAACTAATCTGAGTGTTTTAGTTAACCCAAGGGTTCCTATGCAATTCCTTTGCGGGTCTGCTATTTTTTGGTAAGGGATTATAATATACTAGCCAAAAAGGAACTACACAGGAGGGTCTGGGAACGGCTATGGCAGCCGAAATGGTAGGTAAATGGAATGCCAGGTGCGGTTTGGGGTTTAGCGGTTCAGGATTCCATGCGCTATCAATCATTCCAACTATCATCCTCGTACTTCGGTATATGGATGTCACCGAATCGCCTGGCCTCGAGCCCAGACACCCAAGCCCTAAGGGGTTTAGGGTTAGGGGAGTAGGGGTTTAGGATTTCCCTTGAAGCCTGAACCTCCAGGCCCTGAATCCCAAATCCTTCAACCCTTAGAAAAAAAACCTAAAGCCATTAAAACCCAAAAGCCTGAAGCCGCTATAAATTCTAATCCCTGAACCCCCCCCAGACCCTCTGAAACCAAGTCTGCAAGTGTGGTGGATGCTTCGAGAATATATAGGGGTCTCCCAAAATTAGGGGTACCGTTTTGGGGGTCCCATTAATAAGGATTATAGTATTTTGGTGTCTATATTAGGGTCCCCTATTCTGGGAAACTACCATATAGGAGTCTCCCAAATGCCCAAGCACACCGCAAAAGACGACGGTCCTAAACCCCAACCCTAAACCCTAAACCCAGGTCCTCAAGATCTCCCAGAGCAGCACTTGCGGATCCCAAGGCTAAGTTACAAGCCTTCAGTCGTATGGTTCGTTTAAGCTTGGGTTGGGGTTTAGGGTTAGAGGTCTTGGGGGCTGTGAAGCTTGAAGGATTAGGGTTTAGGTGTTGGGCTTGAGGACCCAGAGATTATGGCCTCACGTTTGAAGTTAAGGGTAGAAATACGCAAGGTTAAACACTAGGGATTAGTATCAGAGACTCAGGATGAGATCAGGGCGTTACCAAGCTTAAGGGTTTAAGGTTTGCCAGGAACAAGGAATCAGGATTTAGAGCTTCGGGTGGGTGTTAGGGTATGGGTTTGCGCTAGTATCCCATGATTTCAAAACCCTATGGTTAGGCATTTGCTATTTGTATTTGGTATATGCGTAGGGAAAGGATATGGTTGGACCCTTAGGATTAGGGGTTTGGGTTCGTCTGGAGGTTCGTATCGATTTCGTGGGCCTTACGGAACAGGGCTGTGCACAGTTTGGAGTGAGAAAACCTACACCGATCTAATCGCCACATTGGTGGTGATTACTCAATGTGGCCTATTCGACACGAAGACCCAGCCGGGAACCTGCAGTCTCATGGGTTCCCTTACTACCATCCTACTTTGCGGAATCCTGGGTACACAGGTGTGTGGGAAAGTCCTTAGAAGGGAGACAGTATGGTGATACTAAGTTACTAAGGCTATATAGGGGAGATATTGGGACTTCTCAAAATATACTCCCCCCCGGAACCCTAAACCCTAAACCCTAAAACCTAAACCCTAAACCCCCCCCTCGCACCTCAAGGTTTCAGCTACATGAATATTTTAGATGCTCTGAAGAAGCTTGATCAAACAAAGGGTAACCCGCAGGGTGGCGGCATGGGGGGGCAGGGGGGTGGTAACCACCCCTAAAGCCTACGGCTAGAGGTTGAAAAAAACCAAGGGTTCCTGTTCTTTGGGGACGCCGCCCATACTTCGCTCCAAGGTTCCCCTTACGCTCCAAGGTTCCCCTTAATCAGGCGGATTTGGGGTTACTTAAGGCAAGTGAGGGGATCTTACTGGGCTGCTGATAAGGAACTTAAATTTTCAGTTACTATATTGGGGAAACCCTATTATTTACTATAATATACCCATTATGGTAACTNNTAACAGCAACCCAGTTTAGGGGTGTAGCATGGGGAGGTTGGTTGGGAGAACCTATTCATTACCGGGCTGCTGGTGGGGTGTGCGATGCTGATACTGCTTTGGGTGTTATGGTTTTAGGGTCTACAGGATTCATAGGGTTGAGGGTTTATAGGGTTTAGATTGGGTACTGCCCCCACCCAGTAACAGTCTATATTAGGGGTCCTATTAAGGGCTATATATAACCATATTATAGTTATTATCCAACTGTTACTGAGGGGGGGCAGTACTGACGGTTTAGAATTTAAAGAGCTCAGGGCGCAGGGTTGATGGGGTTTAGGCTTTCAGTTTTTCTCAGTCCAGAAGCCAGGTGCCGAAAACCTGGTGTTAGGGTTTCCGTTCAGACAAAACTCTGATGACTGTAACCCTAAGGGTCCAAGGACCCGAATAGTAGGGTTTTAGGACCCAAATACTATACTATTAATGGTATTTAGGTCCTAAACGCCTATTATTTGGGTCCATGGACCCTTAGGGTAAACCCCAAGCCCCACAGCCTCAGGTTAAGAAGCAGTTTAGGGTTTAAACCCGTACCTTAATGCAGCAAGCCGCAAAACCGCGAACGCATGAGACTCTGAACCATGCCCCAAACAAATACGGAAAACCCAAAATGGCCTACAGAGAGTGCGGCCGTTGGAAAAGAGGACCATATCAGTTACAGTCCAAACGGCCGTCATAGTTTGTTAGACATGGGTTCCTTATTGGAGGATATTTTGGGGACTATAATAAACAGCAAGGGGGACCAATGTGTCCACTGCTAAGGGTCTTTTGCGAAGGCTAAACCCTAATCTGTAAACCCAAAACCCTAAACCTTGAAGGGTTGCTTAATAAGGCTTTAGGGTTTAGAGCTCATATCAGCTTCCATGTTTGCTTGGGGGAAGACTAGCTGAAGTGTAGAAGCCAGAACATAATAGGGTTTTAGAGTTTAGGATTACCTGTATAAACGACTGCACCTATAATCTATAATGCTACGGTAGCTTGGGTACTTGTGTATACGTTGGTTGCTATTGCTACTAATATTGCTAGCTCAACCTTTTATGGGGGAGGGTAGCCCTGCGGCACGCCGGGGAGCCAAACAAAACGGTGGCTGCGCAAGACAAACATCTGAAGAGAAGACTAAGTAGAAATCCTAAATGCCACAGAATTTCGCGTGTGCGCTGGAGGGTGCGGAGTATGGGGTTAGTTCAGGATTGCGTGTGTAGGGCTCAAGTAGGGCTTAAACAGAAGCTCCAACCCTATACCACCCATACAGTCCCCTAAATCCCCTAAACCGCCTAAACCCCAAACCTCAACCCTA